CTTAGGCCAAGACTCAATTCATGACGAGCTTATTTTAAGCCGTCAACTGCAATCTTATAGACTGATCTACGACTTACACTGCACCGGATATAGCTTTCCGTAGCGACGTGAAAAAAGACCTATCCGTACCTTTTAGGAATTCGAACGCTATATTCGGAGGAATTATTGCAACGGAGAGATGTTATTTCGCTCAGCTTCTGAAAGTTGTACATTCCGTATCGGATATGCGCTTTTTCGCGCCACTATGGAAAGCTAGCTATCCGGTCAATAGTGTGAATGAAGCTTCAATTGACTCGCTGGGAAAAGGCAGAATGCAGTTTTCCAGGGACCAAGGACAATTTTTTTTAATGAAGTTTTCCCTATATACAATTTTTTTATATAAAGATAGTAGATTTCTAATAATAATGTTGGGCTAGGAACCTACCAGAAACCTTTACAGGCTTTTTAATTTAGGCCCCTAGTTTTGTTCATGTTATGAAAATTTATCAATATAATTACAGACATTGGTTCAAAGAGTAAAAAAAGTTTTAAAATGTATAGAACTATTTACAAATTAACGAAGGAAATGTGATGTGCAAAATAAGATTATAGTAGCCATGAGGACATGCAGTTGAGATACAATACGTTTAGAATATATGTACAGAGTATATTTTTTTAGACGAACTCTCAATTAAACGTTACTCCGTAGCGTTCCTTGAAGTTATTTAAACTCGAAAATGTCCAACAAAAATTGTCTTTGTATCTTTGAAAATATGGTTGAAAACATTGTCATTTGATCTATTCATGTAAATGTTGCTAGTACATATTGATATAAGTAGACTTGTAAAAGTAAACATGGTCATGGACTTATGCTGAAGACGTGTGATACGTATACCTTTGCAGTTTGCATGGCATGTTTGATGTGGTCGTGGCAAGGCATGGCACCAAATACATACCGCTATAACCAGTTTGTCTGACTAGAATTACTGGTAACACTATCTAACAACTACGGTATGTGGAAATGAGTAAGTTGAGCCGACCAGTTGCGCAATCTGAAAATATGGGCGAATGCGCTTGCTGAATATATATGATACAGTATACAGATGTACATGCATTTTATACCAGCCTAGATTTTAAGTCGAATAACATGCTTAAATAGTAATAGCTATATTGTACTACTATTCAACTGTGGTCTACTGTCTAAAATGCTTTCTAGATTCAAGTTATTTCCAAAACCTAAATGCCTTAAAATAAAATATTTTGCCCCGGATATATAATGCGGTCCTAATTCGATATATATACATTACCTATCGCCTCGACACTGTTGGCTAAAGGTTTCTCACAGAATACTGCTTTCCCCGCTTCTAAACTGGCGAATACCAGCGATTCGTGCGTCTTGGTCGGTGTCGCAATGACACAAGCATGAAGCGAGGCATCGTTCAGGACCGTTTTGATATCCTTTGAGTGGACTACTTTGGTATTCACTAGGCGATAATCAAGTACGAATTTTTCTGCTACACTGGGGTATTCTTCGACGACGTACTTCAAATCGACTCGTAGGTTGTTGAAGAGGTTTTTGAAATGTATTTTCCCAGCCCGGCCAAGCCCAAACAAAGCGACATTAATACGATCAGACATTGTTGTGTTCTATTAAGCGGCATACTGTAATTTGATATGGTTATTAATATATTGGCGCACAGTCGTAGTGGCCCCTGTTTATAGGCCAGGTCGATAAGTTGGGCAAATTTTCAGTGTCATCAAGCCCACTGCCCTAGTCTAGAGCCAGAGGCCGCGGAAGCATTTCGAAAGTGGAGGGGCATTGACCGAAAGGGGCACTTTTGTATATGACCAGAATCAAACGATTTTATGACGTTCACGAGCCGAACGAAAATTTTTGAAAATATGGAGTCTCTCTAACGTCGGAAATGGCCTTTACAGAGTCTTTACTACTGCGAAAAGGGCATTTCCTTTCCAGAAAAAGAGGGCGTTTATTCAAGAAATACTTTTTTCGTTTTTTAAATGGGGCATTTTAGCCCAGAAAAAAGGGCACTTTTTTCACTTTTAAGAAAAGTGGGGGGGCACATGCCCCCATTGCCCCCCCGGTTCCGCGGTCCCTGTCTAGAGCTGGTCTCTGAGCTGAGTGTCCACAACATCCTCTATTCTGTTCAGGACGATTCTGTTGAACGGCCTTTCCTGAGATGGACAGGAGTGTAATTCCTCGGTAGTTAGCGCAGGAACTAAGGTCGCCTTTCTTTGGGATCTTAATGAGATAGCCTTCTTTCTCCTCTGATGGTACTTGTTCCTCTTCCCAGATCTTCTTAAAGAGGGAGTAGAGCATCTCCGCTGTAGTTTCTACGTCGGCATTCAGCGCTTCTACAGGTATGTTGTCTGATCCTGCCGCGTTGCCTTTCTTTAGCTGTCTGATGGCATTGCAGATCTCTTCTTTGGTTGGCTTGTTGCAATCTATGGGCAAGGTTCTATCAGCTGGTGGGATGTCTGGTGGATTATGTGGCGCTGGTCTGTTGAGGAGTTCTTCAAAGTGCTGTACCCATCGTCTTCTCTGTCCTTCTTTTCCGATGATTGGTCTACCGTATTTTTCCTTTACTGGTCTCTCAGCCTTGCTGTATTTTCTTGAAAGCTTCTTGGTGGTTGCGTAGAGATCCTTCATGTTTCCTTGCTGCGCAGCTTGCTCTGCTTCAGTCGCCAGGCTTTCTATGTAGTCAGGGGCGAAACTAGCCCCTTTGGTGTCTGCTAGAATTGCCCTGCGAAAGCCGATGATGCCCTGCAGCAAAAAGTTTTTTTGGCCACTATTTCTCCCAAAAATGTTGGCGAGCGGGGGGGGGGGGGCGAGGGCGAAAAAAAATTTTCAGGACATAAACCAATTAAGGGTAAAAAAAAATTTTCGGACAAATTCCTGTTAAAACATGCATGAAACCCTTATTTTTTTACTAATATCTGTAAAATTTAGGTCTATAAATTCTATTCAATTCCCTCTGCAAGCCTGGAAGCTACTTAATAACTCTACATTCTATCATTTAAAATCTTTCATTGCCATGCCAATCCAGATGATTTTCCCTGCCAATCCAGATGATTTGTAGTTTGGGGGGTGTCACCCCCCCCCCCACACACCCACACACCCTCAAGTTTCGTCCCTGTATGTAGTTCTTCTTGTCTGCCCTGATGCTTTCCTTGGCTTGTCTGTTGGCCTCTGAATATTCTTCCTGTGCCTTGGCCTTCTTAGCTCTCGTACGACTGTTGTTGACATTCGCCTTCTTTGCTTTCCTTTCTTGGATCCTGAATTTTCAGTGTAAGTTGGGAAATTTGTCAACGTAAGTTTGAAACAACTGAGGGAAATAAATTGAAAAGCCTGCGCGAGCAAGTGGAACCGTAACCAAGTTTGAAAAAAATGAGGGAAATAAATTGAACAGCAAGAAATGTGTAATGTGGCGAAAAATTCTAAGCTTTTCGAAAATTTTTCAGGTGGCATTCGCCAAAAATCCTCTACAAACCTGTTAGTGCCCAGGTGTTATGTTAGTGGTTATGTACGGTATACGGAACATGACTTTTTTACTATTTCATAACTCTGTAATACGGAGAATGACATCTTTTAACATATGTATTAGTTGACATTATGTTCGTTATGAAATAGTAAAAAAATCATATATACTGTACATGACGTTTCGTTTTACTTGAACCACTCACATGTGTTAAACATGTAACCATATATTATGGCATTCCCCTCCCTTGCCTTGCCCTCCCACGAGAGCCGGTGCACAGCTTATACAAGTATTATTTACAAGTAGAAATATTATTTAATCAGATAAAAAAGTACTATAACTACTGAGAGTTAATTATTATGAGACGAAACTGTTTAAAAAGTATGAGGCACAGCTATATATTTATCGGTGTGAAAAAAACCTAGAATTACCCCAATTTAAAGAATTAAATATTAAAATATTGGTGGTAAGAATATGAATATTCAGAGCAGGTCACACGTGTCCCCTTCTTGGAAGAGATATTAACCACTGTGGACCAGTGATCAAGACTGACACTGAGTCAACAACAGGCCGAGAAGATGCTATGTGCATGTATACCGTAAACCTCCGAATATAAGCCCCCGGAATGTATGCCCCCCCCGTATATAAGCCCACCACATGTACTAAGTCTACTAACGCTCACCTCATATAAGCTCAGTAGCCCACTACGTTATTCAACATTGACATCGTCTTTTAATATAGCAGAGAACAATATTTAAAAACATTGTCATTGTCTTTATAGCTTACTATGTTAATCAAAGCACATTATTAATACATTTTCCTGTTTATGACCGACTTGTTTCGTTCATGTATGTATAAGCCCCACGCATCAACAAAAATTGCTACGAAAGAATATAAGTACAGGGCTTTAAATAGTCGGAGGTTTTATACGGTATATATTATCATAAAATTCATTCAATGGAAAACATCACTACTGTGGACATGTCTAGGCAATGCCTTAGCTAGTAACAAAAATATAGTTTATATATAAAAAAAGCTGAAGTTTCGTTCGAACTTTTTTTTATAAGATTTATTAAAAAGACCAATTTAGCAGTCAAGGACTGAATTACATCGGTTTACAAGATTAAAAGGATAAAATACAAAATACAATTAGACTTAAGAATTATTATAGTAATAGTTACATGGTTAATTATATTATAAGTTTTACTAAGACCATGCATCTTAAGTTTTACTAATAACTTAAGACATGCATCTTCAGAGCAATGACATACAAAGCATACAATAGGCTACATTTATATCAGTATTCTTACTCAGGCAATGTAACTGGTTGCCCTGTAGCAAGTGACTTGTCGCAGGCATCAACAATCTCACTAACGAGCAAGGTCGATTCCTTCGTTATTTCTGCAACACACTTCCCTTGCACAACGTCAACAAAATGATCTAAGGCTTTTACATAAGACTCTGCATATCGGTCTGCAAACGAATCATAAATCCGCCCGGTCGTTGCCCCATCCTGCCCCGAAAACGTGACATTTGTCGCTCGATAATTCTGCTCTGTCAGCATCCCTTGGTCACCAAAGACTTCCAGTCTTTGATCGTAACCAAAGCAAGCATACCTCGATATATCAATTAACCCTATTCCTCCACTTGGAAATTTCAGACAAATTGCTACGGTGTCAACATCATTCATTTCTCCAATTTCTTTAATGAAGGCATGGGCCGTTGTGTATACAGTGCGCGGTCTTTCACCAAAGATCCGCGTGACTAGGTCAATATTATGTACTGCACAATCATGGTATATCCCTTTGGTATTCCTGAAGTATTCCATCGATGATAGCGGGTAGTCACGACTTGTTTGCTTCGCCATCTGGACTTGACCAAGTTCACCAGCCTTCGCACGGTTATAAATCTCTCTAAAACCAGGGTCGAAGCGACGATTAAAACTGCACATCAGTTGAAGATTTCTCTTATGCGCTTCGTCATAGCATTTTGCTAGAAAAGATTTAGCCTAAATGAGTAAAATTATTTCTATATTGATAATTTTATGGCACTTAAGTTACGGGTATGGGTATGTGTATATTATCCGTTCCCGTAAAGCGGAACCGGGGTATCTTAACCTCTCTAATAATAATATAGTTTGTTAGTGTCAAAGTTCAATTTTTCTGTTTGCCAATTGGTCAAAACCATATACGTAAAGTCTCATTAACATCATTAACGTGACGAAGGACATGCAAAATCACCGTTTCCTATTGGCTCTCACTATATGACCTATACAGGGTACTTGCGATAGATGAACCAGGCGGAAATCGTAATCTTAGGATAAATATTAATGCCCAGCATAAAACACGTAAAAGAGCCATAACAGAAATATAATTTAAAATATTTATTTGAAAGCTAACGTTTCGTCTTTAACTTAAGACATCTTCAGAGCAATGACATACAAAGCGGAAATTTCTGTGTTTTCCGCTTTGTATGTCATTGCTCTGAAGATGTCTTAAGTTAAAGACGAAACGTTAGCTTTCAAATAAATATTTTAAATTATATTTCTGTTATGGCTCTTTTACGTGTTTTATGCTGGGCATTAATAACCTATACAGTATAGTGCAAAACATGGCGGAAAAATAGTAAGATTCTATTGGCTGTTGCATTACCTGTCTTATATGCTAAATATGTTGTCTCGAGTTATTTATGCAGTTTTGGTTTCAGATTAAGGCCACATAAAAAAAATTACTTGTTTAGCGTCCCCGCCCGACCTGATAAAAGTCCCCGACCTCCAATTTTTTTATTTTTTTTTTAAATCCGTTCGAGTTTAGTGCAAAAACTCTCTATAAAAAAGACCGTTTTACTTGAAAAAATGGTGATTTTATTCTTCTGGGAGCTATGTAATACGTTTACTCCTTCCTCGCAGCTAAAGTGTTCGCGCGTGACCGCCAAACGGTAATCATTTCTGTTTTATTAAAAACATGAACGGTATTAAAAACATGAACGGATTTTGAAAGAATTAAAGTGAGTTTTGACTGTGGTAATATACTGGATTTCCTGCATTTAGCAGAATTTTGTGTTGCATTTTACGAAAAAAAAAAAAAAATCCGCCCGCCCGACCTAGGAAAATTAAAATGGGTGGACGCTAAACAAGTAATTTTTTTTATGTGGCCTAAGTTCACTCCAATAAACAGTAACTTATTCATACTTTGACACTTAATAAAATTAACCTCGGGAAAGCAGTGTGTTTTGTGGTCCCTCGACCGCCGTTGTTGCTCTCAGCTTTTCGCCTCGGGCAACAACGGTGGCCTCGGGTCCACGAAACACACTATTTTCCTCGACCTCGGTCTCAGTAAATAAGTGATAAATAATAAATGTACCACCACGTTTGTTGAAATTAAAGGTTTTGGTGGCATCTGTCCCAAGATTTTTGAAACTGATGTACTTACCAATCGCTTCCACACTGTTCGCCAAAGGCTTCTCGCAAAATACGGCTTTTCCCGCTTCCAAACTTGCGAGTATCAAAGCTTCGTGGGTATTTGTTGGCGTGGCTATAACACAAGCTTGAAGCGCAGTATCGCTGAGGACTGATTGACGGTCGTTCGAGTGAAAAACGCGAGTACCAGAAAGGCGATAGTTGGCAACGAATTTCTCTGCGACACTTGTATATTCTTCGACAATATATTTCAGGTCGATACGTTTGTTATTGAACATATTTTTGAAGTGAATTTGTCCAGCTCTATAACAAACGTACTTGCAGGGAGGTGAGTCCGGGATTGGACGCACCGAGGGTGGCTGGAAGTTTCCCGAACTTACCGAGCGAAGCGAGGTGAGTTCGGGAAACTTCCTGCCACCCGAGGTGCGTCCAATCCCGGACTCACCGAAGCTGCAAGTACGTTTGGTTTTTATCCCATACACCGAGCCATACACACATTTGTAGCTCTTCGCGATATATTCGTCGTCTCGTCGATGTTTTGTGAACATTTTCCCGGCCAAAAAAATCACTGGGCAAGAAAATACTTCTTTATCTACGTCTAAATTACCTTTACTGCATTATTTCTTTGGTTTTTCTTCAGTCTCAGTATGTTAGTCACCGAAAAAAGTTCTTTAAAGTTTAGGTTTATCGGCTAAATCCGCTCAGTGGCTAAATCTTGTCCGCCATATTTGTTATTGTTATTGCAAAGTAAGCAGTTTATCAGGTGAGTTCGGGCGAAAAGCAGGTGAGCTCGACAAAAAGCAGGTGAGCTCGACGACAAGCTCACCTGCTCTAGACCAATCAGAAAGCCGCTTTTAACACAGGTATGGGATAATACCGAAACCGAATAAAGCTATTGTGATCTTAGCATCCATACTGTATAATCCAAGCGAATTCCAAGCAAATTCCACGATTTGCAGTTTGACTTGGCATGTACTAAAAGGCGACGTCGAAACGAAGCCACCGAAATAGTTTATACTGTGACATATGCACGATGCACCGAAGTCATTTATACATATATTAAATTTGCAAACGTAGGAAATTGAATTCTGATTGGCGGCAGCTATTGTTTCATCAGTTGACTAGTAACAAAAAGTCGTGTCGTATTTCGCGTATCATATTTCCAAAAGTGATTAAGGGCCTGTTTACGTGGAGGAAACGTAAATAGCGATCATTTTTGTGTGTGTTGAACGTGAATAATATGATGTTTGTGATGTTACTCTGAGTGTGCATCCACACCGGGTAAGGGACCGGTCATTATTTATGGCACCGAAGAGAAAATGGTTGGGTAAACAAAATTTTGAGTATGTAAAAGGTTGGGTAAATGAAAAACAAAACAACTCGAGGGTTGGGTAATAAAAAGTTATAGTCATATGTCAATACAATATGTGAATCGATCAGAGTCACTGTCTTGATCATTTCCAATTTGTTAGGAGACAAATGGTGTCTCCAAAGAAAGTACATGACTGTGCAGACAACATGAAACTTTAGAAAATTTCGCAATCCGTTATCCAACTCATGTCACAGAAATGGTAAAGGACATATGTGACAACTGAATGGTAACCTTTTGTAAAGTTTTTGGCCAGGAGTGGGTATTTATTTTTTATTTGATATTTGAGGTTGGGTAATCAAATTTTTGACTTTTTAATGGTTGGGTCAGCAAAATATTTGCCACGAAAAACATTTCCCTTCAGTGCCACCCCCCACCATAAATAATGACCGGTCCCTAAGCTGGAAAGTCCAGTAGCTTGGCCACGGTGGGAATCGAACCCGCGACCTTTGGGATACTAAACAAATGGCGACAGTAAATAGCGGGTCAGAAAATAGCGATCGTTTACATGAGGTAAGGTAAACGCTAGCGCTATGTTGCCCGATAGGGTAACCCTAGAAAAATGGCGCCGAAACGCAAAGTATTAGCGGCAAGTTGTGTAATGCTATTCTTGGGCCTTTGCTTGCTGCATTTCAATGTTGTGGTCTGTTTCTGTGCTCGATGAGGATGCGCCGGAATTTTGCTTCCTTTTCACCGTCTTTGACTTTGTTTTCGAAACTACATCATTCGCAGCGTTCTCGTCCAAAGTTCTCTGCTTCCTTATTGCTTATCCGTTTTATTTTCTCTGGTGTCGTTTAAAATACTCGCCTGATATGTATAATCTTACGACGCTATCCTTGTTTGTCTAGCAGTCACAATTGGATGTATAAAACATGACCCGCTCGCCTGACGCGTTTACATGGCTTATGTAAACAAAAAGATAGCCCTGCTGCTAGGGCCACCCTATCTGTTTGATAGGTGACCCTACCCATAGGGTAACCCTAGCCCGCATGTAAACGCAACCTATAAAACACAGTTAGACTAGGGTGACCCGCTAGCTAGGGTATACAATCGGCCCCTGTAAAGCGATTATTAAATGCAAATGGTTTTGATAAATAAATATTTCCACTCCATTGTACATTGCGGATTTACGATATGTATGAATTCCCTTGTGACCTGATTATTGATCGATCGAGGTCTGCAAAAAATAAACTGATAAACTGTATACGAAGTCATTCAGTCACACTTCGTTCTATATGTCCTATATCTTATGGCAGGACTTAATTTGGGACTTTATTAGTTCTGTTGCCTGTGCCTTCAAGTTCTTATTGTAAAAGTAATAAAAACATTTTTTTTTAAATCTGAGAAGAGCGTGGGGAACTCATCTTCTCTCTGTAGCTAGCAGGGATGCCGGAACCACGGGTGCAGCGGGTGCAAGTGCACCCCTTGCCTTTTGCATTTTCAACTTTGTGGGTGCAGTACGGTGCAGAATACGGGTGCAACGGGTGCACAAAGTGCCCTTTTTGCGTGAAAAATTTTCATTAAAATTGCATTTTTTGCGCAAAGGGCATTTTTGAAAAATTCAATCTATGTTATTTCCGGAAAAATGTTTTAATTTCCGGAAAAAATAACATTTTCCAGAGAATTTTTCGGTATGTCCGGAAAATTTTTTTCGTATTTAGGAAAAATTGTGGTATGTCCGGAAAATTTTTTTACCCCTAAAATGGTACACTGACCAAAAAAATTTTGGCGACGGGGGGGGGTTGCCAAAAATAATTTTTAGATGCCCTTTCATTTTCATTAGTGCTCTTTTGTTAAGGAATATGCCTTCTTGTTAACCAATTGCACCCCTTGCCCCCAGCAACTTCCGGCATCCCTGGTAGCTAGTCATATGTGACTGAATATATCGGCGTGACACAATTTACCGCGTGTGTCCTCTCTGTATATCTCTTCTCTGTGCTCTTATAGTGTAAACCAGTTTTTAGTATTAACTAGCTTAAAGTGTAATTTTTAAGTCATTCTGTAAAGGAATGTGATAACTCTTTAAAAAACTCATTAATAATTCATGAAGAAAGCACAAAGAAAAATCATAAGCGTGTCGTATCTGTGTATGTGATACAGATTCATGTTGATTTACATAAATTTTAACTTTGATTTTCTCGGCTTAGACAAAGTTTATTTTTAAAATTACTTCGCCAATGAACTCATAAGATAAGTCGTTTTTTAAGTTGTTTACAACATTCGCGTCCCTGTTGTATCGGATATTCAAACTCTCGCCTTCGGCTCCAGTTTGTATATCCGATACAACACGGCCGCTCATGTTGTAAACATTACTTATTATATGGCTTTTCAAAATTCTCTATTCTGATTGGTTGACAAGTGGTCCATAAAAGCCCATATCCGGACCGTGGTCCGTATTTTCCGTATCTGGACCGGTGTCCCGGATGTCGTTTATCTGGCGGGAAATTTTTGCTTTGCAAACACAAAAAACTTTTGTTTTTTAATTTTCCAATTGTGTGTCATTAAAATTTACAGATAAAATTTGGTGAATTGCAGAACGAAACAAGTTGTTGGAACAACTTGTAACAAGTCTGCTCAGCTCAATAACCGTGTCAGCAAGCCATTGACAAACAAGCAAGTTGTCAACAAGCCGTTGACAACTTGTCAACAAGCTGAGAGCAAGCAGTGCGAACACATCCTGTTGACAAGTTGTTGAAACAACATTGTTACAAGTCTGCTGCAGGTTTGTTACAACTTGTGTGTATTTACGTGTGTATGTCGTAGCAATCTTCTAGAATCTTGGCCAAGAGTACTGGAATAGATGCCTCTCTTTACAAGTGTAGTGAAAAAATTAAAAACTTGAAAACTAATCGCACGTTATTCGAAGAAGTTTGGTAGCGAAGGTTGCGAGGTCGTGGAAATTTACACTAATGATGTCATCCTTGTTCGTCACCATTCCTTCTAGCTCGCCCCTGAATTTCCTCACTTCTGTCTCCTTTCCCGCCGCGACGCCCACGATTTTGATATCACGTGATTTCATTGCGTCTGCCATCTGATGGGCCAGCCGTAGGTCATGCGCATTGCCGTCCGTCAGCAGAATGAGAATGTCGTCAACTAAAGGACGATCACCACCATATTTGTTGAAAACCTAAAAATATTAACATACATTAGGTACTAACCTTGTATTCACTTTGATCAATTCCTACGACTAGATAAAATTTGACCAATTCGCCCAGCATTAGTTAACACTTTAGTCAAGTCTTAGGCCTGGATGAAATTTTGATCAAGTCCTAGGACTGAATAAAGTTTTGATCAACCTTCTTCATCCAGTCCTAGAACTTGATGAAACTTCATCCAGTCCTAGGACTTGATCAAAACTTCATTTAGTCCTACGATTTGATCGAACTTCATCCAGTCAGAGGACTTGATCAAACTTCATCCAGTCCTAGGACTTGATCAAAACTCCATCCAGTCCTAGAACTTGATCAAACTTCATCCAGTCCTAGGACTTGATCAAAACTTCATCCAGTCCTAGGACTTGATCAATCGTCTCCGTTGGAATGGATATAAATATCTCAAATATTGCTTTATTTTGCTCACATGATAATACTGGATACCTGATGAAATATATTGATCCTGTCCTAGGACTGGATCAAAATTAAATCAGTCCTTGGACTGCATCCAAATTAATTAAGTAGTGATTTATTCGTATGAGATGTTATACTCGACTTCGTCTCAGACGTGATCAAATTGCGCGGATTTGAAATCTAGTCCAGTCCTCATAGTCGGATTTAAAATATTACATCTAAAACAAAACACAATTCATACCTCTGTGCTAACCCTACTCAAAGCGTTACCAGTTTTCGTGGCAAGTCCAGCATGGTAATTCATTGATTGTACTGCGTCCAGTATCTCTTCTGTGGAATGTTTACCAAGACTCAAAACCTTTTCAGTTTTTTGTACCTGGCTGTACTGCATTATCCCAATATTTAAATTATCATTCTGTCTGGTTAGCAGGATAATGAGATCTTGTAAAAGTTTTCGCACACTTCTAAAATTCGTGGATTTAATGCTCGCTGAACCGTCCACTGTGAAGTATATGTCATGTGGCCGGCCATCGCACTGGAATGAGGCTGGTGGATCTGGAATTATTAAAATTGTTTAATCAATTTCACTAATTCTTGGTTTGAACTTGACGTCGTGTCGACGATGTTGGAGGAATGCTAACAAAAGAATATCATTAACAGCTATTGTATTTGGAGGGTGTTTTCCTAGCTCGTGTCTAATAAATCTCAAAGGATCGGTTGAAAACCACCAATAGATTCCACTTACCAACTGTAGTTGCTACTGATGCAAAAAGCTTCAGGTGCACCTAACCTCAATTCTTTTAACATCTCATTCCTAAGAAGCTTTGAAATGATATTTGGTTCGCTCTGCAAATTTCTCGTGTGCGCGGTAGCCTTAAATTAGGGCAATACTCACAATTTTTTCTGTAGTAAATATCGGAGCATATTGGCCGCCATACGTAATCAAACAAGATTCCAAAAGACGGCGGTTGCAGTGTAGAGGTAAACAAATATGTAACATTCACTATCTCGTTCCACTTTTGGTCCACAACATAACGCAAATCTCCGATAGAAATGACAATGATTTTGATGTTTCTCGCTTTGAGTAAATCGACTTCGTGGGTGACTTTTGCTTGGTCGTTGGCATTGCCGTCTGTAAGCAGAATGATGATATCTTGCACTTCGTAACGTCGGGAGTTTGTGTTCACTTCGTAAAACTAAAGCAAAGAAGGGGAAATAATTTTTGGTGTATTTATTCAACGTGAAATATAGAAATCTTCTATATTTGAGAGTTAATGGTCATTCGCACGGACGCCGTGTAACAATAGTGCAATCCAGTCACGATTCAGTGATCAGAATGCTCATTTCCTTTTCATTGTCCTGAAGATCCTAATGTTCTCCAAGTCAACCAGTTATGATTCAGCGATCAGAATATTCCATTGTCTTTTCATTGTTTTGAAAATCTCACTGTTCAACATCCCATCACGTCACAATTCAGTGATCGCAATAATCCATTGTCTTTTCATTGTTTTGAAAATCCCGTTGTTCTCACTGTTATCCCACTGCAATCCAGCCAATCATAGTTATGTTTGTGCAAATGCCTACGGCAATAAGCCATTTCAGAGCATCATAGCATGTAGCTTAGTGTAACTGAGACTTATAATGTGTATTGTTTCGCACATAAAGCCACTATACTGTAGAACTGTCCATCATAATTTTTGTACAAGCATCGCATATAAAATGATTTAGTTTCGAAGACTAAAAAGTCATATTCGCAAAACTAACCGTTTTACTAGCTTCAACCAGCGCATCTCCAGTGAGTCTTTTCAATCCTTTTTGAGGCTTCATTTTCTTCAGAACTTCCTCCAAATCTTCTCTATTCGTGTATTTCGACATCTTCCTGACAACTTCGGCCGAACTTTCATCGCTGAACTGCATAACACCCATCATGAATGATTCATCAAGTTGGTTGAATCGAGCCATTGAATAGTGAATGAAGTCTTTCATCCTTTGCAGTACAGACTCGGTGACATTCACTGTGCTGTCCACCATGTACAGGATGTCTTTAGATTTTTTACTTGTGCAAACTTCAGGAGGTGGGCTCTTTGTAGGACGCTGTGTTGCCTTGGTTGTGGGCTGTTGTGTTGTGACTTGTTGTGTGGTCAGAACTGCAGTTGATTTCACAAGTATAAGATTAAATTCAACTAAATGATCTTTATATTTACCAGGCAGCTCTAAACTCAGTTCTAAACTGTACCTTCTGCGGATCTACTGAGGGTAATCCCTTACTGGTCCATTGTCACTGTAGGAGGACATTGACTAAACCTAAACTGTAAACTATCTTTATTTATACTGGATAGATCTATCTTTTCTAAAGTGTTCTTCCTGGAGGTCCAGACGGGTCTTCTTTTATTGATCTAGTGTTACTACAAGAGGAAACCTAAATTAACTAAACAAACTTTATTTATACTGGAAAGCTCCACCAGTTCTAAACTCATCTCCCTAGAGGTTCAGTAAGAGTCGAGAGTCCTTGCCTTGTCCCACGTCGTGCATAAGCTTTCTATTGTCTATTCAGGCTCTTCGTTCACCATCATATTAGCTAGTTATTTGCGCAAAATATGCTAAATAGTATTGACCCTACCTGGCTTGTTTGTTGTCTCCACCATTGTACAAACTCCGCTCAAAACGTAATTCCCAACTTCATTAAGAAAATCAAAAGGCGTCTTAAGCATGTCCTGGAGACCGGACGCCATTAGTTCAATCTGATCTTCAAACGATTCCGTCTCGGTTCCCATAGCGACTGCAATAATTCTCACTCCTCGGACTTTTAGTTTCTCCGAGTACTCGCTCGCAATCGCTGCATCCAGTGTAAGACCGTTCATGAGTACGACTAGGATATCGTCAACCTCCGGACGGTCCCCGTCAGTACCCGTAAATACCTGTAACAGAATGAATAAGACCTCGTTCACACAGACCAGAGCAAAAGATTTCGAATTCGCTAAGTTTCCAGATTTGAGTATGCGGATACGATAGCCGTTTACACTACAATAGTACGAAGAAAGGTTGTTGGATCCGAGGTTTACAATGGGGGAATAACAAACGAAAACGTTCCACAGATTCAGTTGTCGGATTAAAGTGGAGATTCTTTATTTTAACAAATGAAAACAAATGCTCGAAACTGCTTAAGTAGATATAAACAAGATAAGAAAGATTTATAGCCATCAGAGGTTACAAATTCATTGAGGTAACCGTTTACACGGCGAATTGTCTCGGACTCAATACTCACCGAATTATATATCTTCTTCAATGCTTCGCCAACATATCGCTCTTGCTTGTTATAATACGGCATATCATTGAGTAAATACTGGATATCGAGCGGATTTTGCGAGGAGCCAAACCCGAATATAATTTCAGTTTGTTCTTTGTTGCTAACTTCCAGCAAACCGACTCTTATCTTCCTGGAACCCAGGTCAATGTTCTGCACGAACTGTTCCAGAAACTGCACTTGTTTCCGGAAATTTTCAGGCCCTACGCTCGCTCCGCCATCGATTGCAAAGAAGATGTCACGTTCGGTGCAGTCTGAAACAAACAGGAAATAATATTGAGAGGTGAAATGCACATGCCTAACCACTGCGCCACGAATAGCACATGAAAGAATAAATATACTGTACCAAAATTTTATCTACCAAACACAGCAGGTTTTCATCTGGCAATCTCGTTCGCTCCTGCTACTACACTGGATGCATAAACGAAAGCCTTACCTTCTCTATTGTCCCTATTGAGACGTTTCTATAATCCATTACCTCTAGCTTCCATAATCCCTGTAGGTCCTGCTGGTATTCTGCCAGATGTCGTAGGTGTTGGAGCCGTTGCTGGCTGTGTCGTAGGTTTAGGATTTGTCGCAGACCCCTCTGTCGTTGTTGGTTCCTGTGTCGTTGTAGGTTCCGGAGTTGTCGTTGGTTGAGGAGTGGTCGTGGGTTTTGGTGTTGTTGTTGGTTCCTGTGTTGTAGTTGGTTCAGGTGTTGTCGTAGGTTCAGGATTTGTCGCAGACCCCTCTATCGTTGTTGGTTCCTCTGCCATTGTAGGTTCGGCAGTTGTCGTTGGTTGAGGAGTGGTTGTGGGTTCCCGTGTTGTAGTTGGTTCAGGAGTTGTCGTAGGTTGCGGTGTCGTTGTTGGTTCCTGTGTCGTTGTTGGTTCCTCTGTCGTTGTTGGCTCCTGTGTCGTTGTAGGTTCCGGAGCTGTCGTTGGTTGAGGAGTGGTCGTGGGTTTTGGTGTTGTTGTTGGCTCCTGTGTCGTTGTAGGTTCCGGAGTTGTCGTTGGTTGAGGAGTGGTCGTGGGTTTTGGTGTTGTTGTTGGTTCCTGTGTCGTTTTTGGTTCAGGAGTGGTCGTAGGTTGCGATGTTGTTGTTTGTTCCTGTGTCGTTGTTGGCTCCTGTGTCGTTGTAGGTATGGCAGTTGTCGTTGGTTGAGGAGTGGTTGTGGGTTTTGGTGTTGTTGTTGGCTCTTGTGTCGTTGTTGGTTCAGGAGTGGTCGTACGTTGCGGTGTCGTTGTTGGTTCCAATGTCGTTGGTTTCTGTGTTGTAGTTGGTTCTTGGGTTGTCGTAGGCTCCTCTTTCGTTGTTGGCTTCTGTGTCGTTGTAGGTTCGGGAGTTGTCGTTGGTTGAAGAGTCGTCGTGGGTTTTGATGTCGTTGTTGGTTCTTGAGTTGTAGTTGGTTCCTGAGTTGTTGTTGGCTCCTGTGTCGTTGTAGGTCCGGGAGTTGTCGTTGGTTGAGGAGTGGTGGTGGGTTTTGACGTCGTAGTTGGTTCCAAACCATTCGATTGGCAAAGCTTGTTCAATACATCATTATAAATGCCAGGCAAATTTTCGAAAGTCGTTGTCAGCAAATCATCACGAGAAGTTGCCAGACGTCGCAGTTCTACCGTCATACTTTGCGACATCGTTCCAACTCCAATAGGTATTATTCTGATGTCTCTCGCCTTCAATGTAGGAGCCACGATCTGTGCTAGGCTGGCATCATCAGACGGACCATAACTTAGTAGAATTAATACGTCTTTCACATCTGGCCGATCACCACGACTTCCTGAGAATATCTGTCAGGGAGAAAGAAAATCAGGTCCTCTTTTCATGAAATGGAACGATGTCGAAGTCAAAATAGAATATTTCGTTTTAATCATAGTGTTGCCTTCGTTGCTGCTCACATAATTACGGTCGTTGAAATGGATTATTGAAACATGCAGTTGTCTGAGTATAATTTCGCATCGGAGATTGCTTGCAGGTTTTCTCCGAAGAGCCCGGTTTTCTCCTGAAGTAACATAAAACCAATAAGAAATTACGCTCACTGGACCTCCAGAAGGAAACCGAAACAGTACAGATTATCAAGAACAAGAAGAAGAGTTTATTTACGCATGCATAAATTAAGTTAGATTATCCTTCATAAATAAAGTTAGATTAGTTTAAATCTCTAAGACATGGCCTCAATGAACCTCTACGAAGAAGAGTTGAAAATTATTGGCGCTATTCGTTATAAGTTAATTTAGCAAGTTTATACGAACCCAACTTTCCACATCTTCTAATGCTTTCCCAATATATCTACCAAAGCCTTCTTGATAATCCATGTGATCTATCTTTTCCAAAATATCGCTTTTCACTTGAGAACTTGCAAATCGCATTTCCAGCGAGGCCAAATGCGGAAGACTGTACTGTAATATACCCATACGACTTTCCGACGGACTTATATTCGCCGCATTCATAAAATTGGCCAGAAACTGTTTCACTTTGGTAAAGTCGACATTGCTGGCTGTTGAACCATCCACCATTAAGAAAATATCGTACGACGGAAGATCACAACTCGCTAACATGTAAAAATGGCATAAATAATTTTCATTTTATTACAATGCACTTGTAGTAAACTATTAAACTATATTTTAAATTTCAATCTCAAAAAAGATTTGAAAAGTCTCAAGAGATGCTTTTATCCACCTTACAACGATATAAAATATTGCCTTAAGTCTGACTATATTGGTTGGCTGCACGAGTTGTAATATCTTTGCTTACTTACCGGTGGTTGAGCTGATTGTTGTCTGTTGCATTGTCGTAGGTAATATCGTTGTCGCTTCGACAGTAGTATGTGGAGATGTTGTTGGTGTTTCAGTAGTCGTTGGTGTTTCGGTCGTCGTGGGCTTTGTGGTGGCTTTCGGAGTGGTAACAGGAATAGTCGTCATGGCTTCAGTGGTTGTCGATGCTTTGGTTGTTGTGGGCTTTTCGGTGGTCGTCGGCGCTTCGGTAGTTGTCGGCGCTTCGGTAGATGTCGTTGCTTCGGTTGTTGTGGGCTTTTCGGTGGTTGTCGGCGCTTCGGTAGTTGTCGGCGCTTCGGTAGTTGTCGTCGCTTCGATAGTTGTCGGCACTTCGGTAGTTGTCGGCGCTTCGGTTGTTGTAGGCTTTTCGGTGGTCGTCGGCGCTTCGGTAGTTGTCGGCGCTTCGGTAGTTATCGGCGCTTCAGTTGTTGTAGGCTTTTCGGTGGTCGTCGGCGCTTCGGTAGTTGTCGGCGCTTCGGTTGTCGTGAGCTTTTCGGTGGTCGTCGGCGTGGTGACGACAATAGTCGTCGGTGCTTCGATGGTTGTCGGCGCAAGTGTCAAGGGAATGGGAGTAGGAAACTCTATCGCAAGACAAATTTCTTTTGCAAGATTTGCAACAATTTTCTTGGCTACGCTCTTAGTTAGGTTGGCAAAAGTAAATGTGAAAATGTTCCCAGGACCCGAAACCATTTGCTCAAGATCAGAGATGAATCGATGGAGGTGGGGACCTGCCCCTATGCCGATAATTAGGACCCCTTTCTTTTTCAAAATTTCGGCATATTCTTTAGCTTCTTTTGCATCGTGGGCTTGACCATCTGTGAATATAACGACAAGATCGCTTGCGTCTGGTCGGTCGTAGTCAGTACCAGTAAACACCTGACATAGGATAAGAAAACAGATGAAGAGATGTCTAGTTAGGGCACACAGGGTGTGTTTGGTCAATTCACGTGCTTGACAACTGAGACCAAAGGGTATGGAAACAACTTGTTAACAGTTGTAACAACCTTGTTGATATTATCAGACTTGTTGCAAGGTTGCCCCAACAAGTCCGATACAGTAATGATATAACAATATTGTTACAACCTTGTGTCGTCAACCTTGTAACATCCTTGTTATATCATGACTGCATCAAACTTGTTAGAACAACCTTGTAACACGTTTGATAATGCCACAGAGCTTGTTACAAGTTATTAACAGCTTGTTTCAAACTTGTTACAACAACTGGGAACAAGCAATGCGAACACAACTTGTCGACAGTTTGTGAACTGATTTGTAACAACTTGTTTGTATAGACCTGTACTGTAACAACTTGTGCGTTTTACGTGTGTATAACTTAGCAGCGTGCTACCGTGCTTCAACACAGATAAAAGATCCTTGATCCAAACCTTACCGAATCCAAAATAATCTTCAACGCAACTCCAGTAAACGTCGCTCGTCCACTATGATACCGCATATCTTGCAGCTTCTGCAAAATGGCTGCTTTTTCTTGCGTGTCTTTGAAACTAAATACAGTATCTGTAAGATTCTCCTCGCTAAACTGAATCAAACCAACATGATTTTTATCCGGCCCAATTTCCATGTAACTGATGAAGTTGTAGAGGAAGTCGCGAACTCGTCTGAAATTGGTTCTTGTTATGCTGCGAGAGCCGTCGATGGCGAAGTATATGTCGTAATTTCTTTCTTGGGTGCATTGCACTGATTAAAAGATAAGCTTTGGGTTGATGTTGTACAGTATGATAAAGTAACGAACTAAGGGATGATTCCAGCGCTATAGACGAAATTTTGAACGAAATGCATTACCATAGCTGGAAAGAGCATCTTAAAATTAGTAAAAATGCAAAGTTTGGTTGCGAATTGTTGTAAAATGAGGAAATATAGCCCTTCGCAAATTTTGCATATATTTGTATTACGTGTGGGAAAATAACCATTTTTGAGCCGAAAGTTGTTACAAATATATACAAAATTTGCGAACTTCACCGGGCTATATTTTCTTCATTTTACAACATTTTGCAACCTATCTTTGCATTTTTACTCATTCTAAGACGCTCTTTATAGCTGTGGTGTTGGATTTAATTTCGTTCAAAATTTAGTCTATACAGGTAGTTGGAATCACCCATTACAAAACTGTTTTCCTTTGCGCAAATTGTTTTTTTTCCCCAAATGGTCCGCCTCTTAATAATTAAGACTAAAATTTAAATAATAAATGACCTACCGACCGACTTGACAAACTAATTAATTAATTAATTAACCAATTAAATACCCTGCTCGCATCCCACCAACCGATCATTTGAAACGAAAAATTAGGTTTTCAAATTCCCGGTTTTCCTTCGAACGAAATTTCGGGCCACAAGCAGGTTACTTACAAATTTAGCGAACTCATAAACTAATTAGTGGACGTACTAACTGACTAACTAACTAACTAATTGATTATACCCCCATTTGAATTACAAGCAAACAAAACACAAACTAAATTTCCAATTCCAAACGAATTAGTCCATCTTCTTCATAAAAACGCCCAAAACATTTGTCCAAACTATTTAAAACACGAGCAGTATACTTTATCAGATATAAGACACGAGGCGATAGCCAAGTGTCTTATATCTGATAAAGTACGAACTGCGAGTGTTTTAAATGGTTTAAAAAACGACCCATCTTATGAGTTCATTGGCGAAGTAATTTTAAAAATCAACGTTGTCTATAAGCCGAGAAAATCAAAGCTAAAGTTTGCGTGAATTTAACATGATTTTTATCACATATGAAACAACCGACACGGCAGTGAAAATATGTATGATTCAATTTTAAATATACTCAGCCGGCCAAGGTGACAAAAAGTGCCTCTAAAGAGAGTTTGATGGCAACTTTATGTTAGAAGCTGGTAACAGGCATTTTCTTATAGTTCAAGCCTTGGTGAATAAGACTGTGTGTGTTACCACTTCTGATTTTTGCTTCATAGCCAAAAAATTGAGAATTTTAAAATTTTGCCTATTAAATTACTATGATGGCAAAAAATGTAAACTTTCATGTTCTCTTATACAAAAAATAAACTATACCACTAGAAAGAGCGCAAAAAACTATATATAAGATAATTAAGCGACTAGTGCGATATTCAAGCTGATTTTGAATTAAAGATGGTTAAAGTTGGCAAAATGGGTACTAATTAGCATTAATTTGGTCATTTCTGCATTTTTTAACATTAAAAACTCGAAATAGGATTGGAAAAACGTAGAAGTCACTTAATTGTCTTATATATAGTTTTTTACGCTCTTTCTAGTGGTATAGTTTATTTTTCGTATAAGAGAATATGAAATTTTACATTTTTTCCGATCATAGTAATTTAATAGGCAAAATTTAAAAATTCTCAAATTTTTGGCTATAAAGCAAAAATCAGAAGTGGTAACACATATAGTCTTGTTCACCAAGGCTTGAACTATAAGAAAATGCCTGTTACCAGCTTCTAACATAAAGTTGCCATCCAGTTGTACAAATTGATGACTTGGCCGGCCGTCTAATATGTATGATTCAATTTTACCTGTCGATTCCCGTTTTGCGTGTGGTAGTCCATTCACATTCAATAACGCAAAGACTGCTGTCATTGCTAAATATAACACTGCAGCCATTGTGCTCTATGGAGGAAAAAGATATACTTCCTAAAAACCTGCAAATATAAATAAACCAAAGATAAATCTTAAAATACGACTAAAACTTATAATATCCATTATATCCATCCAATAAAAAAAATACCGATTACAAATTAGTGGCCCTAGCTGGAGTTTAGTTTAGCGAAATCACAACACTTTAGCTGTTTAATGTTCTATATTTGTCTGTTTTTAACTTGGATAATTGTCTTTACAGATTTTTAATAAGTCAGTCAATATAATTGCAATTCCTAAAATTATCCTCAAAAGCTTGCTTTGCAAATTTTCAGAAATTAAAACTAATGAACAAATTTATCTTTAGTTGTATGAGCTAAAGTCTTCACGGCAGAAAATAGTCATATTTTTTGAAAGGTGGGACTAAACGATTGGAAAACGTCAAAACTCAAAAGGAATATGCGCATGTTTTAAATTAAATTATTAAGCGCAGATTGGAAAATGATTAAAGACAACCTAATACGATTAAAAATGTTTTTCATTTGATATCATCTGGGAGTCGTCCTCAACGGCCTTTGACTAAATAATGAACTTAATATTTAACTAAACAATAAGTTAACATTCTTTTCATACTGTCACAACCTATTCTTCTATTTTGTAGATTTGATGTTAGCAAGGCGTCCAGACCATCACACCTTGACCTTGACAGATTATGACTTGGAGAGCTCGCCGTGTCAGTGATAGAGTCTAATTAATTGGAGGCATTCTTCTCAGGGGGAAACAATCAGAAAGCAGCGTATTGATTAACCACTGTGCGCGCCCGACACAGACGCACTTAGATTCCCCAAGATTCTCTTAAATCAAGTAGTTGGAGCCAATCTTTTGCGGAAATTATGTTTCATAATCTTTATTCTCCCACTCGACGCAACATGTTTTGAATTTTTTTCGCATTTTGAGATTTCGAGGGGGAAACGGAACAGAGAAACACGCTACTCCAACAGATGCACTCGTGCAAGGCGTGTTTGAATAACGGGCAATGCATACACATCGTGAGTCTTTAGCGTTCGCGTGTCTTGAAAACATAAACACGTTCATGAGACACCTCACGAATTTTGACGCATGCAAATATAATTAACAAGATGCATGCACTGAGTTGGCCATGATATCGAAACATGCAACAAATTAAAACTACATTTCTGCGAGACACGCATGGTTTCTGAAGCGTATGGCCTATGGGATCAGTGGGTTTAGCTGTGCTCAAGAATTGTCCGGCTCCAAGCGCTCAAACTTGAATGCAACAGGATAAATTATGCGCATTGTAGTATACCATCCTGAATTCATCCGTGAAAACGAAGCCGGAGTCTACAAATATAACACACCCCTTACAAAAACTATATATAACTAAACGCCAGCCCAAATCCCTTGAAAAATTATGAGAAAAGATAACTAAAAGATTGTTTATACAACGATATATAGGATAAGATTATCGTAAAGATAATCAAATAGCAAACATTTGATCACGCGAGCGATAATTTTGTTTATTAAACCACAGGTCTTACAGCAGGGTGCAAACTACAGTACAACGTTTACCTTAAAATGTCGTTAACTTTTATGGTCTGTTTGAACTTCAACTTCGATTCGCAAACTGCTTTTGGGAAGAGATTTCTCGCTACTATAGCACGCACCAACCACAACAATTTGAATACTATTGCAGCATTCAATACTGTCTGAATGCGCGACCTTTTGCGTCGCCAATTTCCGCCAGCTCTTTCAACACTTTGAATTGAGAGATTACTTTGTGCTAATTAAACTATTCTGAAGTGATTTCTGGGGATTATCGTGCATTACATTAGATGAAGAAGAAGCGGACAGTTTGGTCATTTTTGGTCACTGTTTCCCCTCCGTGAACCTTTTCTGGAGGGGGTGGGGACATTTTGATAGGGGTGGGGCTCATAGGGGGTTGAGCCTCCCTTGTTACGATTCCATGTCGATTGGGAGCTCTACAGTTGCAACTGTAGTGTTGTCTGACCGGTCAGACCCGAATTTATGTCTCTGTATCAATGGAAAGATCTGGTCTATGTTTCACAAATTTCTAGTGAAAATGGACCTCATTCTAATGTTATCTAAATTTTCCGGTAAGACAGGTCCGAAGCCCAAACGTTTTGTATTCCATTCAACAATTTGACCGTTCTGACCGGTCTGGCCGTGTCAATTAATGAAAAGCGCCCTAGATCATATAGTCATGGAAGGCATAACGTGATTAAATATGTATTTATTATTTTACAGTTACACGCTATGGCTTATAAATAACATCTTCACAATAAATCGTGTGCAGTCTTATTATCTCCAACAAATCTAGCATCTGCAGAGGACGACTGATAAATATGTCTCTTACATGAGTTTCCTAAAACCCATTTCACCACTACTTGTCTTTAAGAAGTTTTACTCTTTCTAACTCTACAGTGAGTTTTTTATGGATAGCATATTCTCGGGTTGATCTTCTAGCTTGGGGTTTATCTTCTTTCCTCTATTTGAGTTTATATTGTTGTCATTTGTGTATATTTTTGTTGATTTTTCTGGCTACGTGAGAGCCTTTATTGCTTTTTTTCTGACCATTTCAAAGCCTTTTGAGTCTCATGTACCGACAGACAAGCGGGAAAGCTTTCTCAGCAAAGAATTCCAGTTGTTCAAAGTTCACCGTCATCGCATACTCGGGCGAAGAAGCCATATCGATCAATTCCTGCTTGAATGTTCTCAGCGATTCCTTCGTACCAGCTCCGATTGTGATAACGAGAATACCTTTTTCCCTTAGGATTTTAGACTGTTCGCGGGCTTTTGATAGGTCGTGTGCATTGCCATCTGTAAAGAGAATGACGATGTCACTAATACCCGGACGGTCACCATTTCTTCCGGTAAAAATCTGAGACGAGGAAAGATAGGTATATTAGTTCATGAAATACAATACAATACAATACAATACAATACAATTCAATATTTATTCCCCAAGAGACTTTTCAAAACCAATTACATGTGAAAAAAATATTTTAGACTCTAAAAAGTTAATTATAAAATAATATAATTGTCAACGACTAACTGTTATAAATGTTTTTTTAAAAATAATTTCGAGACCGTTCCCGCAGTCTTAATGGTCATTGACAAAACAAATTTCGTCACCCCTCTCCCTCAGATCAATGTTGTAAACAGCGCAAGCTCACTAACATTGAGTTGGGGGAGCGAGGGCTTAAGAAGACGAACAATTTTAGCTGCAAAAAATCACTAGTGCTATCCAGCTTTCGTACAGCCGGTCCCAAAGACAAAAATTTACAACGAAAGAAGAACACACTGAAGTGATTCAACTCACCTCGTTATTGACACGAGTTAACGCATCGCCAGTGGCGGTCCGCGTTCCAGCTTGATACTTCATGTTACGAAGATTGATGATGCTTTCAAACTCGGTATATCTCCCCAGATCCCAGACCACCGATGTCTGATCTTCTTTACTGAATTGCATGAGTCCTGTGTTGATTTCTGACGCCTCCACTCGCAGGAGAGAGATGAGATCCATGAGGAAAATTTGAACTTTTTCAAAGTTATAATATTTGATGCTTGCTGAGCCATCGATGACAAAGAAAATATCATGCGGACCTCGTCTGCACGATGCACTATCTCGCGGCACTAGAAAGGAAAATGATTTTGTTAGAAGGTGAATTTAGATCCTTTCAGAAGCAAGAAACAAACTCTATTTAAGCTGGATAGTAGTACTGTTCTCTCTGAAGGTCCAGTAAGGATCATCTCTTATTGGTCCAGTGTTACTACTGGAAGAAACCTAAACTTTATTTATACTGGAATGTGGATAGCTCTATGAGTTCTACACTGTTCTCTCTGAAGGTCCAGTAAAGATCATCTTTCTCATTGATCAAAGTCCAGTAAAGATCATCTCTTATTGATCCAGTGTTACTACAAGAAGAAACCTAGACTAAACTAACTTTATTTATACTGGATAGCTCTATCAGTTCTAAACTGTTCTTCCTATAGAGGTCCAGTAAGGATCATCTGTTATTGATCCAGTGTCACTACTGGAAGAAACCTAAACTAAACTAACTTTATTTATACTGGATAGCTCTATCAGTTCTAAACTGTTCTCCCTAGAGGTCCAGTAAGGATCATCTCTTACTGATCCAGTGTTACTACAGGAGGAAACCTAAACTAAACTAACTTTATTTATATTGGATAGCTCTATCAGTTCCGAACTGTTCTTCCTAGAGTCCAGTACGAATCATCTCTTATTGATCCAGTGTTACTACAGGAGGAAACCAGGGGTCTTGATGCACAACTTTAGACAATTCAAAATAATTCTTGGAGTCACTTACATCCAGCTTTAGGTACCGTGGTCGCCTTGACACACATCGCGTCGAGAACCGTTGCACGACCTTTTTTGAGATCCCTGTATTTTGGCAAGAACATAAACTTAGGGTAAGTTATCTCACGCAAGAAAGCTGCAAGATACTTGGTGGATGCTCCCGAGTTGACTCCCACTGACACCAGACGAACATTTCTCGATTCCAACATCCTTGCTTCGCTTATAGCGTGGTCTCGGTCGTTAGGCGTGCCTCGCGTGATCAGGACGATGACGTTCGGGTATCTCTCGCGTTGTTGAAAAGCATCGAGCTCGTAGAACTGCAATAGAGCAAAAGTCATAAGATGTTTTAGTATTTTTGCACAAGTGAATATAACAAATCCTACAAGTCGATTGGTCAAATTTGACGTAATAAGCTGTTATATTCACCTACAAGTGAATATAACAAAACCGAAATTTGCAAAATGGCGGCTGGCCGTTTTGTGGAAGTTACAGGGGCCGGTTGTATCAAGCCTGTTTAGCTTAAACGGTGGATAAGTCAAAATTAAATAACACTCTTATATCTTTCGTGAATCAGTCAACTTAAATATTCTGCACTGAATAAGTAGTTGTAAACAATATCGTTCTATTAAGGTTCAAAACTTTTAGTTTGGTTGTTTAATGAATCTATAGACTTGCTTTCTATTTTGAGCTTAACCACCGTTTAAGCTAAACGGGCTTGATACAACCGGCCCCTGATAAACAAATATTAGCGAAATTAAAATGTTCAGTCCCAAAAAACACAAAAGACTTGCTAAAATGCTAAAACAATTCTCGACTACGTCTCGGTGAATATTTCCCGATGATCACCTCGCCTTCGGCGAATAATTGTTAAGTAATATTTCAAAACCGACTATGAGGACTGCAAGGACTGGATTTCAAGTCCGCGTAATTTGGATCAAAATGCGAGGACTTGAAATCTAGTCCAGTCCGAATTGGAGGATTTGAAATGACATCTCATACGACTGTAAATCACTACTTAAAGTGAGGTAAATTAATTTTGATCCAATCCAAGGACTGGATTGATTTCGATCCAGTCCTAGGACTGGATCAATATTCTTCACCAGGTATCCAGCATTATCATGTGAACGATATAAAGTGATAATTTTCTCATGAATTATTAATGCCTTTGAGATATAAGCTTCAAGTACATACCTTACTGTTAGCTTTAACCAAAGCATCGCCTGTAAATCTTTTATAACCTCTTTGCTGGACGATTGTCCCCAGTCGTATCTTAATTTCCTTCAATTGTCGCGAGCTCATAAAATCAATTTCCATCCTTGCCGTTCCCTTACCCGTGTACTGCATGACACCAACCCTAAACTTGTCATTATCGAGGTCACGGATAGTTGCTCTCATAAATCCTCTAATTCTTTTGAAATCTTTTCGGGATTGGTCGTAGGATTGCTGGAAGTTCACTGTACCGTCGACCACAAACAGAATGTCTTTGCCAACACTACCTGAACAGCCAACCGGGGCAAGGGTTGTGCTTGGTTCTTGAGGCTGTGTGGTTGCGCCTAACCAGTTGGTTATAATGGCAGGTGCTGGAGCACGGAAACGAGTCGTTGGATTGTTTGATATGGCTTGGACTTGCGTCGCCTGTGTGGCTGTAAAATGGAGTAGAAGAGAGTTTCGTTAGGTACACGCGTCAAAATCTCACAACTTGCCAACAAGATGTGTTCGCAACAGGCTTGTAGCAAGCTTGTCAACAAGTTGTAACAACACTGTTATTTTATCAAGTTGCAACAAGGTTGTCACTCACAACTTGTCAACAAGACGTGTTCGCAACAGGCTTGCAGCAAGCTTGTCAACAAGTTGTGACAATGCTGTTATTTTATTAAGTTGCCAACAAGGTTGTCACTCACAACTTGTCAACAAGATGTGTTCGCAACAGGCTTGCAGCAAGCTTGTCAACAAGTTGTAACAATGCTGGCAATCATGGTACAAGGTTGTCACAGCTCAGAACTTGCAACTTGTCAACAAGCTTGGAACAAGCAGTGCGAACATATCTTGGTGACAAGTTGTTGGAACAGCATTGCTACACGTCTGCCGCAGGTTTGTTACAACTTGTGCATTTTCACGTGTGCGATGCATGGTGCTATTCGTTATACAAGGTTTCACACTCGTGGCAATGGAAGTGTTCCTAAAATATTCCACCAATTCATTTCCTCATACGGACGAAATAATTTGTTGAGATATTTGAAAATTTAAAACTTCCTGTATAATTGATAAATTTCCTATTGATACACCAAAATAAGTTGTGAATACTAAAGTATGGGAACTTTTACACACATTGCGTGACACTCATATTAACAGACATTAAAACTTTAAGATATGTTGAGGGTATACTTAATACGGTCTACAGATAAGATGATACGAGAGCTAGTCGGTTGCTCTTATAAAATCATGCGTGCATATAATCCATGAGTCGTCTCGTCTGCGTATTTCGCATTTCCTATTTCGAGTGTCGGTTTCATTTCGTAACGACTCCTTCCGTTCCATCCCCAGGGCGGGGTGGGCCACTTTCTCCATGTCCATTTTCTGACAGGAAAAGGGGGGGGGGGGGGCGCAAATGATAACCACATCTAAATCGAGCCCAAATTAAGATATCTTCTATTAGAAACCGACTAAGTTCACGCCAAGTTTTGGTAAGAAGTCAATCCATGTTTCCATGAAGAATCATGCGTGCAGTTATATGTTTATGAAAATTCGACCCATCTTGAAATGTCCCCTGTAACAATGCACGACTGCGAATTAACTCTCAAGCTCGTTTAATCGAGGCATTAGCAATGGCGTCAGCCGTTCTTGCTAGAAATCAGGCATCAACTATTTCGCTGACCTCAGAATGACATTTCGTCAAAACTTTTTTCTTCAAGATTGGTTTAGAAACAAATTTGGAGTAGGGTTAGGTTAGGGTAAGGATTAGGATTAGAGTTGGTGTTTTGAGTAGGGTTAGTGTTAGTAAAACCGTTGCTTTGTTACGTTTTGTCACTCTGAGGCCAGCGAAATAATCTCTTCCTAGAAATCACCGCAGTCAATGAAGTTTCAAACAAGAACAGCTGTCGCCATCACTCGTCATCTGGCGTCCGTGATGTCAAAAACGTCACTTGTTTAAGGTCTCTATTATATATAGCAGACAACTTTAGACTACATGAATATATATATATATATCAGTTTTTTGTTCTTGCATAACCCTAATTGACCATTTGCGTAATAGACTAAATTTTGATCTAAACAAGTCTAGACAACAATTTCACCACAGCTTGAAAGAGCATCACAAAAATCCAAAGTTTCGTTGCGAAATGTTGTAAAATGTGGAAAATATCGCCTTGCGAAATTTGCAATTTTCAGTCATTTTAGATTACAAACGGGAAATTGACAGCCTCAAAGGGTTTGGGGCTGTCAATTTCCCATTTGTAATCTAAAATGACTGAAAATTGCAAACTTCGCAAGCCTATATTATCCGCATTTTACAACATTTCGCAACGAAACTTTGGAATATTACTAATTTTGTGATGCTCTTTCAAGCTGTGATGAAATTTTTGTAGTGAGATCAAAATTTAGTCTATTACGCAAATGGTCCATTGCTATCCCTGAACCTATAACACGAACATAAAATAAACCAGTCTTAATATCATGTATACTTTGTACTCAGAAAATGTGATGAACAAAAAAAAACATGATGAAGTAAGGTGATTTATTTTTGCACTAAATATCACATGCACTTAGACTCTAAAATATGACAAACAAATATGGGTGGGGCAAAGTAACTATTGCAATATATACAAGGCTAATATCACTATGGGAAACTCTTTGTTGTTATTTCGGCTCAAACATTACGGACGAAAGTCAAGTTTTCAAACGACCGCAGGATTTTAAGCTTTTACCTTTTTAGCAAAGCCGGCTGCGCAAGCATAGACCAACTTTGGCATAATTTGGCTTACGTTGATTGGCTGACTATAAATCACAGTACAATGGACAATCACTGAAGCAAATTGCCCCCAAAACCTGGCCAATCCCAGGCTGGTAGCTTGACGTTTAAACACGACTTTAGACTGGACTTTAAAGGCCTTTAAAAACTGTTGAATTTATAGTTTCAGATTGAAATGAAAGCAAAGGGATCATTGTTATTGTCATGGTTATACTTATACAAGCCACAAAAATAGCTTAATAATGGGTTTTTGATATTGTGAACACCTTATACTTGTAATGTTTTAATTGCATGAATGATATAAGCAAGCGAAAACGGTATTACTCAAGAGCTAGTCACCAAAAATGGCAAGGAAATGTTAAACGTTTAACTTCTGAAGATGCTCGAGTACAGTTGCACGATATTCAATATAGGTGACAAAATCGCCTCCATGTCTACGAAACAACTTAAAATCAAAATAGAGAAACTGCTGGATTTTCGTACCGTTTTGTTTTTCAATATAAGCGGAGTATAATGCCGCTCCAACAATATAAATAAATATTTTGTTTAAGTTCCCACGACTATGAATTTCACTCTAAATGGTATAGATTTCTAAACGTTTTCCAATTGTGTGCGTTAAACTAAGTAACTAACTTTATTCATAGTGGAAAAATCTATGTGACTGTTTCCCCTAGAAGTCTATGAGGGAGAAGCCTAGAAGTCATGTAAGAACGATCCTTGATTCAGTGTTACTACAGGAGGAATGCTAAACTAAATGATCGAAGCTCGCCCTGTTTGGAAGACTCGACATTGAAACACTCTTCTCTAAAGTGACATTCACTTCACAAAGTTTGGGCGAGGTTAGTTGTTTTTTTCTGTCCATATCTGCCTGGGCCCTGACACGTTTCATGCCAAGAAAATATATACGGTATTTTCCTATGTTTTACTGAATTCAAAGATTTTATTCTGTTTTCGCAAATGTGACTGAGGCATTCTTCACAAATTTTGGGAAGAATCAATTCAGGCTTGACGCGTTTCGCGTTTACGGTACATTGTCCTATGTTTTATAATTCATAACATTTTTAATTTTATTTTATTTTCCCATGGGGCATAAGTGGCATAGTGCTTGAGGGTCGTAAAACAAGCAAACGGCACACTTGTTTTCAGGACCGATGTCAATATTCACTTTTGAAAGTCATTTACATGGGCTTAACTGGACAAGATTCGCACACCTTCACAATTTTAAAAAATGCAGGACTTTTAATATTTTAAATATGAATTTCAATCTTTTTAATCTTGTTTTTAGGGTACTGATCAGGTTTTTACCCAAAGTACACCACAATGCATCACGATTCAAGATGTCATCACTAATTATGAAAAGAGTTCATTTATAGTTTAATATGGACATTAATTAGTTGATTAGCTAATGAGACATTAGATTGAAAAAAAAAAGATTCACTTACGTGGTTTTGGTGTGGTGACAACTTTGCAAACTTTATTGACGATTTCGAAGACGATATTTTCAAGGTTCGCAAAATCGACCATTTTCACGTCATCTGGGCTCGATGCAATATTTAGCAGCTCGCGTTCGAGGTCGTCTTTCACCCTCTGAAGATCGTATCCTGCGCCGATGGCGATGATCCGCACTCCCTTGTCTTTCAGGCGCTTGGCTTGATCGATTGTCCGCTGAGGATTACGAGACTGACCATCTGTGAGCACGACCACTATATCTGGAACGTCCGGACGATCTCCGTTAGTCTCCGTGAAACCCTAGGTGTTTAATGTTGAAGTAAGGTTAAATTGCTTCGCGTAACACTTCCTAAGTCAAAGAAAGAATTTCGCAAAAGGTGCTGCGGCTATACAGTGGTGAGGAACAATCTTCCTTATCAAGCAAAAACCACTGCTTCGTAAACTCCTTTAAAACGCCAGATTCTGAAACAAATGTCCGAGTCACTGTTTAGCGGTCTTTGTAGTTCAATGACTTAGTACCCTAACCCTTCTCCTACTCCAAACCCTTCGATTGTGAATTTTTCCTAACCCTACTCCTAACCCTAACCACATTCGATTGTGAATTTTATTTAATTTCGTCTTTTTTATGTGACTTGGACTTTTGACTCGAGCTCTTTGTATATTTTACAGTAAATTACTTCAGAGAAGAAAACTCCTACTGATCTAGACAAGATTTCTGAAGAAATATTTCCAAATTTATAGACAAGCTTTGGGAAGTTTGCTTTGAATTTTAAGTTTCGATAGGTTTAAGCTTGCGCGGCCTTGCGATTCCGGTGAAGCGCTCTAACCAATTGAGCTATCATTTTCGAATGATACAATCTCCATCCAGTGCGTTATATAATATATATATATATATATATTCTCACCTGATCGTGGACAATTTGCAGTCCGAGTCCAGTCAAGGTCCTCGGGCCACCGTAATACGGCATGTTCTCAAATTTTTGGCGGATCGTTTGGGCATCGAAATTATTATTAAGATTGAATCTTATTTTCGTATGCTCCTGATCACTGAATTGAAGGAAACCAATGCGTGTCATATCCTGGCTAACGTGCACAGATGATACCAATTGGCTTAAAAATTTTCGAACTTTTTTGATATCCCTATATCCGATGCTCGCCGAATCATCAACGACAAGGAATAAGTCTCTTGGCTGTTCCACACATATCACTAAAGAATAAAAAAATATTGTTAGAATTACACTCGACTCACTTTATTTATACAGGATATAGCTTGAACTGATCGAAAGTTATAGATCCAGTGTTGGATAGCTTCATCAGTTCTAAACTGTTCTCCGGCCCTAGAGTTCGACTGAAGAATCATCTCTTATTGATCCAGTATTACTACAGGAGGAAACCTAAACTAAACTATACTGGATAGCTCTATCAGTTCTAAAATATTCTTCCTAGAGTTTCACTAAAGATCATCTCATATTGGTCAAGTGTTACTACAGGTGGAAACCTAAACTAAACTAACTTTATTTATACTGGATAGCTCTGTCAGTTCTAAAATGTTCTTCCTAGAGTTCCAGTAAGGATCATCTCTTATTGATCCAATGTTACTACAGGAGGAAACCACTAAATTAACTTTACTATACTGGATAGCTCTATCAGTTCTAAAATGTTCTTCCTAGAGTTCCAGTAAAGATCATCTCTTATTGATCCAATGTTACTACAGGAGGAAACCTAAACTAAATTAACTTTACTATACTGGATAGCACAAATTTTAAGAACAGTTTAGAAATGGTTACGTTGGTGTATCATATAAGATGAAAGGACCTGCCGCCACGTCTGTCGTCCAAAAATAGAAATGACGGTGTCCTTGAACACTGGTAGCTAATATAACCAGAGCTCGTTTCCAAAATGTTCTTTGTTAAAAGCGTACATGCATTTCAGCATTTGTATGGTGTGTGTATTTTAACCGCCAGGATGCGAGTCAAAAGCAAAAGTGCGATTATAGGGAGGACATTTTCTTCCCAAAATTTGAGAGTTCAGTATCGCCTTTGGTGAAGATAAAGGAGAACTGTTTGGAACAGGTAGAACTTATAACCAAGACAAAATACAAAAGAACATGCAGTAACTCTGAACAACATTTTGATTCGACTAAATCGTAGTCATCATTAACCAAAACAAAGTTTGTTTAATTTTTGTTTGTTGTGGTTACTTTCATGGCTTTTCTGGTTTCCTTTTTTGATTTGCATGTTCGTCATCCCACCTCATTACCATGAATTCAGGTGAAAACGTTTGAGGAATTTAAAAACTTTCAAACACGAACAACAACAATCCTTTGACTATACGTTTTACGAGGGTTTAGTCTTCCCACAGTTTTACGTCAATTAAAAACGGACTACTTAAAAAGGAGTGTCTGAAATACATTGAAATATTTAATACCGCAATAACAACACAAATAAGCAATAATTATATGGTGTAATGAAAACTTATAAACTTGCTCAATAAGTTTAGGTAAACAATTAATTAAGCCGTTTACGTAGAAATTCAAATAGTTGTGGTTTTCGTGGGTTAAGGCTTAATTACAATGTCATTCGCAGTGCATGTGTACCATAGGAAATGGCACTTTAACATATTCCGCAATCACTTATGAGATGTGGGGTTTTTTTGAGAGAATTTGAAAGTTTTAAGAACAGATATTCCGCAATCGCGGCTCGTTAAAACTTCGCCGGAAGTCGTCGTACAATCGTAGACACTCGTGAGAAATGTATTCACATTTATGGTGAGCACTGACATCAGTAAAATTTTCTAACCAAATGAAATTAGGCCATATTTTTTTTGTTGGAAGTAGAACCACGTATACATGGGGATTTTTGATGTGGAAAAGCTTTGGGAACGACGTTTTCTATGTTGCGTGCATTGTAACACTGCCACTGGCGAATAAATATTAAAAGCGTCTGCTCCGTAATGAAACTGAGTGTTTCTTCCTGTGGCAAACTCTAAGCGATTTAAGGGGCTAAAGTGGCTGCATAAAAAAAGACTTTCGGTTTAATAAGTGTCAAAATCTGAACACCTCTAAAGCCTGGTTTTCTGTGATCACAGTAGGAATTTTGCATCAGTACTAAATTCTAAGTTTTGAAGGATTTGCAAGAAATATTTGAGGGAATTAACTGACTCAATGTTAAGTCAGCTTTGCTCAAACATTTTTTACAAATCCTTCAAAACATAGTCTTAGAATTTACCGATGCTGAAAATTCTCATAGTCATAGAGTATATAATGATCACAAAAAACCAGCCTTTACAAAGCCTAAAGGCTATATAATATAATATAATATAATATAATATAATATAATATAATATAATATAATATAATATAATATAATATAATATAATATAACTATATAATTATACCGCTAAAAATTGTCCTGTGGGGCATCGCATAAATTGGTTTCCGCGTCAGTTGACGTCATTATAGGCTATAAGAAAGGTCTATGCCAGTTACTCCAGATAATTTTCCATGTAAATTTTGCCGACACTATATGAACTGATCATATAAGGACTTTGTGAAATATTATAGTCTTTCTGTCAATAAGGTTGACAATTTTACAGTGAGCATGCAAGTATTATATGCGGGAACTGGCGACGAACTATTTTTAATACTCTGTCGGACGCCAGATGATTTTACTCGCTAAGAAAGCTTTGGATTCAACTACCTGAAAAATACAAGGAGAACTTCGACGCTTCGAGCGAAGGCCCTTCACGGGCACAGACATATTATTATTGATTGACAAAGAGGCAAAATTTTATTTGCTGTAGACTTTAAGACAACTTCAGTAAACCATTACTGGAAATTCTTAATTGATGCAAAATTTTCGCATTGTATATAAATTTTGTCTGAAGGAGCGAAGGCTTTACGCCCGTATTCTAAAAGCTCACTTACACTCAATGAGTGAAGGTTCAATCTGAGCTTCTCTTGAGTGCCAATGCTGTTTTTTAATAGCTGGAGGGCCAGTGGTCACATAGTGAGGTATGACATAATGACATTAGCCTTCCAGCTATTCAAAAACAGCAATGACACTCAAGAAAAGCTAAGATTGAACTTGCACTCATTGAGTGTGAGTGAGCTTTTAGAATACGGACGTTAGTATAGTCTTTACTAAAAACTCACTAGCGTGTCGAATCTTATCACGAAATCAAATTGTCTCTAATTCCAGCCCTCAGCTGTCGAGTCAGGATTCCTGACTCTCTTGCAATCAGCGATGATACGTAACCTATAATTATATCGTAAACTGTTTTTGTTGTTGATGGCGTTGCATCACAATATCTATATTATACCGCCAAATTTTCTCATTGTTTATCGCAGACCATAATAAACGTCAGAGAATGTGGCGTAGACAAAACAGAGATCCTGTTATCTTTTCCAAACCCAAGTCTTCAAAGAGGGGTTATGTAACATCTGTTACTTTGTCGCTAAGAATTTAACTTAGACTATATGTTACATTTAAACTTTTTTGTACATTTTTTCCTTTTGGCACTTATAAGTTAGTGAATGTTTAAATTCAGCCTTATTGCGTTACAATATTAAGGGTGACTTCGCTTTTCTCTGTATCATATATGTCTATAATGTGCCCTTAATTTATCTTTACGACTGGCTATAAAGCCAACTTTAAGTTATATTTAAACTACTCATTCTTATTCATTGAAGCACTAATTATATGTAATACGAGACCTTTATATATAACTGCGAAGGAGCTTGGAATAATGCCATACATTTTAGTCGTAAAAATTACCCGGTAATTCGCTTAAGTTTATGCGGTTAATCCTAATAATTTAACAGCGAACAGGATATTTTTTGTATCAACTGATAAGGTTTAGCGGCGTTTATAAGCTCTTTCGAGGTGGCCAAGGCCCAAATTATAATCCAAATTGTACGTTACTTGACAGCAACGGAAACAGTCACTTGGCGTCGCATAAAAAATACTACATGCCTAATTTATATTGGCTTATTGCCTCCCGGCCTAAGACATTCGTGTCTTACAGGTTAAAATCCCGACGTCTGTAAAAAAGCTGGGAAAATCTTGACCTTTTACGCATAGGGAAGCACCCTACTTCGACGATAATTCGATTATATCTATTGAGAATCTGGGAAAAATTAGTCTCATCTCGAAACGTTGGGGGTTTGCATTTTTTCGGCTGCTCTTGCACCGCTTTTGAGCTTAAGCCAGCAACCTATGAGGCTGTGACTAAACATAAGCGATGATTTGCACCATGTTGTGCTTGTTTTGGGTGAGAAAACAAACGAGAAAATAGGATTTATAAAAGACAATCGAGCTGCTCTTCATTTTCACTTATTTACTATTTAGCAACATTAATTTGTTACAAACGCTCGCGATATCAGAATTAAATTTTCGCATTTTATCGCATATATTAATTTCGTATATTAAAGTTTCAATATTCAGCACATAACTTATCGTTGAAATGCATTCTAAAGCCAATTAAATGAGTCATTCACGTTTTTTAAATTTAAATTTCCTAAAAATTTTGTAAAATTTTTGCTTCGATCTTGCAATCGATCATGGATTTCGAGTCGTTTTTAATGAGTTGAAACTTCAGCATTCTGCCCGTTTTCTACGGCATATGGGGACGCCGTCACATAACAAGTCGGCAAAACCATTTGCTATTATACAGTCGAATCATTAATTGCAACAGATGACTATTTAAATAAAATTCAATATAAATAAACTACCGAAGTTTGTGTCTAAACTACCTATATAAATGTTTGCATGCAGTGAGTAAGACATATCTTTAAATTTACCTTTCTCCTGACTTGCGGGAGCTCCATGGAAATTCAGCAATATCGACAAGAGAAGGAGAATTATCTTCGAATAATGCATGATTCTTTGATCGCTCTTAAACGTTATAGCTAAAAAAAAGAACAATACAAAAAGTTAGCAACGAAACCACTCGCTTTCGAGAGTTTCGAAAATCACAATGCGCCTTACCGAAATTTGAGATGCTCCTTAGAGGAGAACCACTCAGTTATGAGCGAAGCGCACGATCTCCGCGTTGCTTTGTAGTCAGGTTTTGACAAATTTGGTCAAACCGTATATCGGAAAAAGCCCTTTGTATGAACGGAAGTTAATAGTGATAGCGTATTGCTTGCCTTTTGCGTAAGCCAACTGAATATATTAGCAGTTAAGATTGCACTTCAAAACCCCTTTAGAAATCGTCGAACCGCGCCCAAATTCTATGGAAACCTATATGTGCAAATAAACTCCTATTTCATGTAAAGTATCGTTTAAAGTATATAGTTATGTAAACCACTCTATGAATTTCTAAGACACTATATATCAAAGTTGTCTTTTGCCGCTATGAATTAAAAAGGGATCATATGAATTCTGACTGAATACTTTTGACCGTTTATTTTTAATTGCTGCATAAATAGTCTTTCAACTAGCTCCACATTTAAGGGTCTTTTCAGCGATAACGTACACTTAGAGTCATTAGACATTATATATAGTACTCGTAAATGCCCACCTAACATTTGCATTCATTGTCTATACATGGTAGTGCCTTACGCGGTTATATAATTTTAAATATGATTTTGAAATGCATGCAAAGTGGAAATAAATTCCCTAGGTCGAAACTCGAAAGAGCTTTCCAGAATAGCATAAATATCATGCATCTATATGGCTTGGCTTATATATGGGGCCATTTCCCACGGCCACGCGTTTGCCTGCTACAGTTGAAATTTGAAATGTGTCATTTAATATGCATGCGCAAAGTTAAAAGTATGTAGCTACCAAATTTCCCAGGGGTAAAACGCAATTCCAAATACACATATAATATCCCTGGTTTTACTAATTGTATGTAGAATCCCCATGCTCGTTTTGCCAAACGGATGTCAAGTCAGTTATTTATATATGAACTAAATTTCCTAGTTTTAAAAGACACTTTCAAAAACCCTGGCAAATTATCCATTTCATGACTTGACATGACTAAGACTATATCGATATATAACTATATATATATATATATTATATATATATATATATATATATATATATATATATATATATATATATATATATATATATATATATATATATATATATATATATATATATATATATATATATATATATATATATATAGGGTGTCCCAAAAAAAACGAAATTGAAATCACTTATTGTTAAATTTGAATGCCCTACCAAACAGCTGGACGTAATGATGCGTAAAATATTGACAAGGTGCATGTATTAGAATTTAGTTAGGAACATCTCCTGTTAAAGTGCGCGATTTTCTGCTCCTGGGAATTAAAAACAGCTTCTTAAACAGTTTCTTTATGCATAAAATTTACTTATGTCAATCATTTATGCACTCGTGGGAACCAACAGAGCGCTAAGGCATTCAAATTCTAACAATTAAATTGTTATTGGTGATTTCAATAACTTTCGGGTTTTTTTGGGACACCCTATATATATATATATATATATATATATATATATATATATATATATATATATATATATATATATATATATATATATATATATATATATATATATATATATATATATATATATATATATATATATATATATATATACTATATATACTATATATATATATATATATATATATATATATATATACTATATATATATATATATATATATATATATATATATATATAATATATATATATATATATATATATATATATATATATATATATATATATATATATATAAAAATATATATATATATATATATATATATATATATATATATATATATATATATATATATATATATATATATATATATATATATATATATATATATACATACACACCAGTATAACCGAGGCGATATACTATGAGCCGAGCTTTTTTTAAAAAACTTGAGAGAGTTTGAAAATCATACGAGCGTATAAATCATCAAACAAATTTAATTATTAAAACCAGTGGATGAAACGAGGATGAGAGCATGCATGGGAGTTGGCACTACTTGACAGTCACGCGACCCTTGGTTAGCTGTTCTTAAAACGGTCGTAAAGATTGAGTCACGATACTTCTCAACAGCCGAAATACAACATTTTAGAACTGAAAATACGCGGAATGATTATTATGATATTATGATTTATATGTGGTTTACAGGTATAAACTATTATAAACTGACCGTTGTTGAGAAAGATCGTGACTCTATGTATTTTTACGACTCTTACGACTGTATGAAAACCAGGTAGTTAAAATCTTTCCCAATTCATGGTATCATGTATTCTGTTGAAGTTAAAACATAGTTGGGACACTCTTCAAACCTTTATTTTGTTAATCTAGAGCTTGAAATATCCCGCCTGTAACAATGCGTGGCTGCCAACTCTCACGGCAACTCCCGTGGTTTAAGATTTCGTCCCCAAAGGGCAAAGCCAAAGGCAAAGCTGGCATAGTTTGTGAGAATTTGTTACAACTTTTCCAAACAGGCTCTCCCAAGCTAATTTCGTCCGTGTATTTCTCATGAATTATTAATGAGTTTAATAATCATAAAAGATACTCCCTACTGAAGATATCCCTAGTATAGGGAGTGCTTGCCGTTTTTGAAATACCTTTATATATATCACCTTATTAGTCTTTACTTTGTCCTTTAATAGTATGTCTTTACAAGTGGTTGAAGTCTCTTTGATATTCTTTTTTACTTAATAGGTTTCCCTCAGCAATTAAATTGTATGTTGTATCTTCTCAGCAATTTGTAGTTGTTGTACTCAATACCAAGTCGTATGCAAGAATGACTTGTGCGATAGTCTGTGCGCTTTTTATGCAAATGCAAAGCAACGGGGAGCCAATTGCCGGAAACCTCTAGCTCATTAATTGAATTTACGAGTGGTGTATTAGCGCAAAATATTTTTGAGGCGTGTCAAATATGCGCAATGTCATCACCTTGGGAGACGCCTATTTTGAATAATTTCAATATAATTACGCATTCTATGATAAGTGGTATTATAAATTTGCGGAGTTTTTAATTTTTTCAAAAAAAATCTGTAATATGATAATGCTTTCAATATAATCTGACCAATGGTGACTGTGTGTTTTTCGTATAAAATATTTTTATATTTGGTATATCATGATAATAATGTTTAAATTTTATAATGTAGAAAGAGCGATTAATACCACCTTTTAGACAGAGCAAATTTAAATTTCTTTACTTAAAATAGAATCGTACATCTGAGCCTAGAATAGTTTTGACAATAATTACCGTTTCCAGAGTGACTGTTGTTTTGTATTTAATAAAAAATATTCAGTGTTTCCCGCAATTTCTGAGCTAGGCGCAACGAGTGTGAAACGCAGAGTTGCTCGATTCTATTTTAAGTAAAGTGCTATATCATACTGGATGGAATATAGGTCCGGATGATGGCGTATAAAAATAATTGAAACTCTGTGTCATTAGTCGCAATAATGATACTTGTTTGTGCTAGTAAGTCGCGCAAATATATAATAAATTTTAATTTGTGCTTTTCCCGTATGGAAGATCAGCGTGATTCGCTAAAATTGCATGTCCATTAAACTGTCAACTGTGGCTAGTGTCACCTTTTTGTTGATAATACATGTATAATATGTCAGTATTTTACTGTGAACAATATGGGATCATATTACCTTGCGTGTGCAATATAAAAATGCGCATTTTCTAATACGTGCTACGATATGAAGTCTATACCGGAAAATACATTCCAGAGCAACAGCGCAATCAAAAATTTGGAATATAAAAAAATCCTTCAAGTGGATTAAAAGTACTGGTTTCCAGGAAAGTGCGCCAAAGTGTTCAATCCATTATTTACTTCACTTAATCACAGTTTATAGACTTAATTAAGTGCGTGTGTGCCATATTGTAAAGGGTGCGTATATGTGTCTAATTCGTGCACATGATGTTTATTTTTGGCTTAGAAAAGGAAATGAAAACTTTAAATCCATTACGTACATATAGTTTGTACTTTCAATAGTGTTTTTCAAATCATTAATAATTCATGAGCAATTTAGCAAATGATAATCACCTATTTGACCACAAGATGCCATTTGGATAACCCGGTGAAACTTGATGAAAGTCACTAGTGTTTTCATCAAATGTCTTAATTACGCATGCAAAATTCAACTTGAATAGAATTCCTAATTACGTTATGCTTGGTTAAGAATTCTATTCAAATCAGCAAACGAAAACATTCTGTTACGTCTCGATTCATTCGAGAAGCCATATAAACAACTCGAGCTCGTATCAACACCGGGATATCCAAACACTCGAAAACAAACACACGCTCTCGTTGTTCATATATTAGCCATTCCGAAGTTGATGAGAGGACTGGGGACGAGTGTTAAAAAGTGCCCTGTAATCAGTTACTGTACGTGTGTGTGTTCATCGTAGAATAGCGTACCTGATGGAAAAGCAAGTAATTAAATATTTTTTTTTAAAAAACCTTGAAAGATCAGACTATTAAGGCTCTTACTGGACCTAGTTTAGAGAGAACAGTTTAGAACGGATAGACCTATTCAGTATAAATAAAGTTAGTTTAGTTTAGTTTAGGTTTCTTCCTGTAGTAACACTGGACCAATACGAGATGACCCTTACTGGACCTCTAGGAAGAACAGTTTAGAACTGATAAAGCTATCCAGTATAAATAAAGTTAGTTTAGTTTAGGTTTCCTTCTGTAGTGACTGAATCAATACGAGATGACCCTTGCTGGTCCTCTACTCTCTAGAGAGAACAATGTAAAACGGATAGAGCTATTCAGTATAAATATACAATCTTGTGCGTGGTAATGCGGCGCTGTACTGGGTCTCACAATAGAATAACATATAATTCCGTGAAATCCAGTACTAAAGATGGATAATGAAAAACGTCAATGAAATGACAATGGTATTCTTAACTGGTTAGCAGACGTCAAAAATTAGTCATGTTTATTGTTGTTTACGCTTGAGGGTAAGTTTGCGTCATCCTTCGCGTGTGGACTAAATTAGATGGCGTTTATGTTAATTAAGCCGACCCTTCCTTTCTGCGGGCAGTCTATTAATTAAAGCCAGGAAACCACAGCCTTGGCGAATTGCAAAGACTGTTTATGCTATGTCAGAAATTACTTTTGGCTGCTTTTATATAAACTATTTAAAAAATTCAACAAATTTTTGTTCCCCTACAAACAACGAAAGTTAGCTTATTGTATAAAATACTTTCAATACTATGCACGGGACGCCCACGTGCGACACGTATGACAGCTTTTTCAGGTAGTTTAGACACAAACCACGACGGCTTATTATAGAATACTATACCTACAATGGACCACCATGTTTGACATATCTTTTTAAGGTAGTTCAGACAGAAACCCCAGCAGCTTATTGTAGAATACTACCTACACTGGACCACCACGTTTACTGATATATTTTTCCGTGATGTGGTAATTCAGACACAGTCACAGACCACAACAGCTTATTGTAGAATACCACCTACACTATATCCCCACGAGTAGTGAAATATCTTTTTCGTGTCAGTGTTTAAATACAAACCAAGGAAGCCAGCTTAACTAGTCTGGACTATATGATGCACGTTTGGAATTCTTTGCTAAAGATCAAGGAAACTTTAAGTATTCTTTACGTTGGAATTCCAAACGGTTTTCGGATATGTTATGCGGTTGTTAGGGGCCAACGGCATGAAAAAAAACCAGCAGAAAATCTCTCACACTGCTGATCCCCGAGAGTTTGAAGAGTTTCTATAATCCGGCAGATTACTAAGCACGGACAGGTAAAAAAACTTTTTCCGTGTTTTTATTATATCCATGGTTTCACTGAACACTATCGTGCAACAGATAGTGCTCAACGATTATCGGAGTAAAAGTGTATTATACGTATTTTCATTGCATGAACTGTTGTGGGCGTGAGAAATAAACAGAATTCAAGAGATATAGTTTAATCTTTTTGCTCCTATATTCAACACAAAGTCCAGTTCACCATCATCTGATTCTCTTGCGAGAAATGCTTACGGAATCTGCAGAGCTGAAATGCAAATATTGACCGGAAAAATATCTTAACTACAAATTAAAGGAAATTCGATCGGAAACTTTTAAATTTGGTCAGACATTTTTTTCGAATTCATAGTGGTCGGACATTTTGACCTCCAGATTCAATTGCATGGATAAATTATACCTTAATTACGTCAGCACTTTATGGCAAACACTATACAGTATACGGTAGTTGAAATTATTTTAAATTTAACATTGGTGTATATTCTTTGTGGGATGATCCCAACGTATCTTATAAGGTTATGACAAATTCGTTTATGAAAACTGATTGCCATTTTGTGTCCGAACAAAGTGTCCGATGGATCAATTTTGCATTAGGTCGGGAATACTGTAGTAAATATTTGAATATACATTGCCATTGGTCAGAAATCTGCATAGTTTACGTTAGCTTGAGTGTCATATTTGGTTTTTACTCAATTAGCCTTTTATTTGTCCGCCATTATTGTGGTACTGCTTGTCCCACGTTTGAGAGGACACGCACCGCAAAATGCGATTTTTATATCACTATAGAGTATAGTTTTGTAAATAATGGTAAATTTACAGTTACAACTTTGAAAAGTCGCTAGTATCACATTAGTTATAGTTGTCTATATTATATATTGACGTGAAAGACAGTGCCCCCAAAATGGCATGCAGATATTGACCCGCGTAGAACATGCTAATTGCATGGAGAAATGCTTGTGGCAGATTTTAAAATTAGAATTAAATAGAATAAATATTATGGCCTACTACAACCCCTACTAAAGTTGGTGTAAATAATGGTCTTTAAATATTCTTAATTTCTAACTCGTATTCTCTAACTTAAATATTCACAGTATCATATAAAATATTTGTCAGGGAAACAAGTGCTCAACAAGCCTAAACAATTTTCGACATTTTTTAAGACCACAAAATTCCCTGCTTTTTTCTCACTCCTCTGGTATAGTATAATAGTATAACAATTAAATTGGGCAATAATTACGAGACGATGAGCTATCATTTAGGAATTCAATTCTCTCAATAATTACGTACTCGCAAAAATTACGCAGACGTTATCTGTACAATAGTGTATGCATTTCGTTATGCGGTTATAGAGCCTACAGTATATACAGGCTGAATGAAATAAATTATTTTAAATTTGGAGTTATGCTACCCCTTTGGTATTGTGGTGATAAAATGACAAGTAAATGATTCCAACATGCCTGATACGACTCGGTGTTGAAAAGGTTAATCGGTTTCAGATGACCAAAGCCAGACAGTGAATTATTTTTGGCTTTTACGTAGCAATGTCATGATGTCATAACATATAACTTCGAACGCAATACAGTCAAAATTACAGCTTTAATTCAAATTCAATCCAAGTTATGCAATTCGATCTTTCATGTTATATATATTTATCCTATATCATTTAAAAATTGTTATATTTATTTATCTTCCCTTTTTCAGTCAATAGTTTGAACTGACATGAAATATAACCTCCTGATAATGCAAATAGGGCCGGGTCTTAATTAAAAAGCCTATTATGTTTCTAGAAGGCCTCTGTAGTCTACACATTCAGAGTAAGAATTAGGGAAAAAATGTAAATAACTTTTTATGGGCGTAAAAAAATATAGGCCGAACAGAAGTCTGTCTCAAAGTTTGATGACGTCACTGTGATGACGGAGATTTTTATTCAAATGAAATTGAACTTGATTTAAACTTTGTCGACTGACCTTAGTACAAGGTTTAACAACAAAAATGT